CACACACAGCGTTCAAGCGCAAGACTTTGAGTTATCTCACAATACTACGAAAAATATATAATTTCTAGCACAAAACGATCATAATTTCTAATTAGCAACTAATAGGAGTGATGATTATCAGAAACAATCACTTATGCCTCGGGATACTAATATTAGGACTAATATTGTAATCTCGCTTATTACCGAGACAGTCTGAAAGAAGCACAGTCTTTGTGCCAGTATGAGGAAGACAGAGCAATAAACGCCTGTTTCAGCAAAGTAGATGAGAAAAATACCAAACGTTAGTGAAGATGGATGGCAATCTCTTGCTGTCCTGGAACTTCGAACTTCAGAATAGTAATCCCACTATAGTTATCCCATTTATTTCCTAACGCTCTGATAAAATCAGGCAGTTGATGGAGAATCTCCTGTAAAATGGGAGGTTCATTGGGACTGCGGTTCTACCGGAAACTTCGCTAACCAGAAAGAACATAAAAGTTAATGATGGTTCATGAGATCATGTACGATAATTATGAGCAGATCCATATGGAGGAAACCATCCCGAGATTAGACAAAGCGTTGCGGAATATCTGGCAACTCTGAGAATGAGAAAGGAGCGCATTCTGGCATCATCTTCCACGCTTTTTACCTGGGACATTCCCTTAGTCCGAAGAATGTCTTTTCTGCTGATAAGGAGAGAACAAAAACAAGAGTATTGATTAACGAATCGCTATGCATGCTGGCTAACGAACCCTGCTGTCTAACGGATGTACGTGCTCGTTTCATTTGGAAAGAAAGTGAAGGAACACTTATGAACTTTGAAATACCGTTCTGCGTAAAAAAGATGTTCGCGCTAGTATGCCTTCAGTGAAAAGAGTGAAATATGGCCTAGAGCTTGTCTAAGAGAATTAATGGAACAAACGTTATCGTCACTAAACATTTAGCTTGATTCTTTTCATAATATCATGTCGTTTAATTTATGTACTGTAGCCTTGGTAATGACGCTTGTGGGCGGAGTTGAAACGCGCTGGTAAGTAAAGGAATATACATCTTCTATTTGATTGGTTGTCTTTAACCATGGACCGAGAACCGATGCCTTCTTCCGCAACCAGATGAAAAAGCGTTTTTGAATTTCAAATAAACTGCGTTTTTTATAGCTATTTGTTGGCAGTGGATATCTTTTATGCTTTTGGCGCATATATTTCTTTAATGCACTTAAAACTGTACTGAAAGAGCCTGTCTTCGTTATGACAAACTTTATTTCTTGCCTGTCGACATGCAAAGCGACGAGAGCATAATTTTTCTTTTTCCAGCATTTATATTTTTCATACGAATACTGGGACCTGTGCTTGGATTCGTGATCGGCGCCGGTTGCAATAAGTTGTACTACGACCTGAAAAGTAAGCTTCTACGTTCACCATTGCTATTCTCACAAGTCAGTAAATGTTGCGACGCAAATTTCATGAACTTCTAGACGAACTGAACCTCGTGCACACGGATCCGAGTTGGATTGGTGCCTGGTGGCTTGGATTCTTACTGATTTCGGCATGTCTTTTTCCTCCAGCCGTTTTGCTGCTCTTCTTCCCTGATTTGAACATACAGAAGAATCGAAAGCCGCCACGATCGACAAGCATCACGGAAAAGACAGACTATCAGGAACAAGCAACGTTGGTTAACAACGGCATGGGTATCAACAAAGATACAGTCTACAAGGACTGCGTCTCGCCCAATGCAAAACTAAAGCAGAGCGCCAAAGAAACCTTAAGAGGTATCGACTGACTTACCGACTGAGCGTTTCGGTTGCGTGACTGTGAAATGAAAGACGTCTGCTCGTTTGTTTCTCAACGGCAGAAGTATTCACATACTACCTCAATAAAAACGCAAAATTCATTACTGACAATGATAATTCGCTCACAATAATAATAATCCATAGCAATAAAAAATCAGCCTTGTATATAGCAATGCTTGAGAAACTGTACCTTTTAATCTAAAGGATTGTAATTAATGACGAAACCCAGTGCGACACTTGACAGCGGCGAGTGTTTCCAATCTACACCGAAGTGCTACTAAGCCATTCACTTCTCTCTCTCTGACATCGGTCAGATGTGATGCGTTTCTCGCTTTAATTTGAAGGAAAAGGAAGGTCAGGGAAGTTTGTAGCTGTTGAAATGTCGGTCTTCCGTAGGCCTTAATGATGGGACCATGCTGACGATCTTCTTTTCATGAATTTAATGCTTAGGACGTGGATTTCCATTTCCATACTATCGGCTAGGAGTGCCCTTTCAAAGCAGAGTCGATAGCAACTATGTGACAAGTATAATCTTTAGTCTCCCGCCTCCTCACAGAATGATGCCCGTTCATCAAACTCAAAGGAAGAAAGGCGAGTGACCCGATCGGGACTCAAACGCGGGACCTCCCGATTCAAGGTGTGACTCTCTATCGACCGAGCAACTCCGGTCTGAAGCAACATGTAAATTTCTTGATCGAGGCAAAACGTTTCGCCCCCTGGAATTCGAAATAGACTGTTCATGTACTTTGCCACCACGTTTGATTGTTTTGAAGGTGTGGAATGACTAATCGCTTAGCTAGATAATCACTCATCGTTTTGGATGCACCTGGAATATTCAGTCGACTGAGCATAGGGCTCAGAACCGAGGGATCCCATGTTCCAGCCCTGGTCAGGTCACTCGCCTTTCTTCCTTCCGAGGTTTATTACCGTGTTTAACACGCTGTGGGAAGGAAACAGTAGTCCACAGCCTATGTTTGTTGAATATCTGCTGTCAACTCTAATTATGAAATAAGGTGCTCCCGGCTGAAGGCGTGACCATGGAGATCAGCACTCAACCATTGACCTCATGTAAAGAATGGCGCTTGAAATAGCCGCATTATGCAAGTGTAAGGAAGACCAACGTTCCAATGGTCACAAGTATTCCACCGTTTTACTTTCCTCATTACTTGTGTTATTTCGTGTCACATTTCTGGCTAGAGCAATAACAGCTTGTTGGTGGCCAGTGACGTTTCTGCACCAGTTACTCTCTTTGGTCTTCTCAAAACAACCATAGACGTGGATTCACTATCGCAAACGCTAAGCGCATTCCTCTCCTGAGACCGGATTTTGGAGCAATCGCTCTTTGTCCCTGGTTGCTGATTAGACTATTTAAACAAGCCATGACATCCTAATATTTGGCTGCTTTGTGAAACCATAAGTCCAGCACAGACTCCTGAAACGTTGTTAGCGTGCCGTTGTTCTCTGGTCAGCAGTATTGCGAGAGCTGCACCTGGAACTGCAGGTGATAAATATCGTGACGCTGCAGCCGGCTGAAATGCCGTACCCCCTCCTCAGGCAAAGGCATGATACTATACGCAGTAGTATCCAGTTTCAGAGGGTTTCTGAGCTTATTAACACCACTGCACAAAACTACACTTCTGCATGAGTTGAAGCGGCGATTGTAAAGAGAATATATTATTAAAAATACTGGATGCCTGGATCAAAACTGAAAGGAATACAAAGACGATGTTCAACGGAATCATGGGGTACTTTATACAAATGAATGTCGTTAACACCGCAGAATTGCACTAGAGGGAAGATTGGAACTGAAATAATACTTCGTCCATCTATTCTCTGAGAACAGTGTGACAATTTATGACGCTAATTGATAGATGATAATAGATGAAATGAAATTTATTTTAGGGATTAGCCTTTTCGTAATACATTTTAGGAACCTTGTAATTCGTTTACAAGAACTGAACTTGCTGAGTTATTGAGTCAATCACCTGCATCAAGTTAGGAAGTTTCCCATCTTGCCCTGATATGGTCAAGCTGGAAACGGTGTTACTTTTGTGCGTTTTGTTCAGCGTATGACAACTGCTTGCTTTAAAATAATCTTCACTTATCCCGTAGCCTAGAGTCGGTTTCCCTTTCTCAGAAATAAAAGAAAATATTTGTAAAACAACGAAAGCTGTCATTGTGCAACGATGAGATTTTCTAAAACTCCTATTAGGTAACGGCTCATGGTTGGAAAAGCAGAGTTGCATCTTTCAATACTAATCTGATGTAAAGAAATCATCTTATGTCTTGAATTGATTTTAGACTTCCTGCTTGCAATCAAGGAGGTGTTCAGAAGTCCCGTCTACACAGTGTGTCTGATCGGAAGGTTATTCGACGCGTTCGCTTTTAAAGGCTTTTTCGTGTTCCAGCCAAAGTATCTTGAAAATCACTATGGTATGCCACAGTATCAAGGAAACATGCTGCTTGGTAAGCCGTATTCTCTTATGGACGTATAAGAATAAGTAATTAAATCATATTGTCGTTCAAATGGCAGTCACATATCTGATGCACAAGTGTGGCCTGCGGACAACTTCAACTGCGAACACTATATTTCGTCCTGTAGGTTCTCCTATCTCAAAATGACCTCAAGACCTAGAGAAACTACAACTCACAGCAGCGTAGCTACGCGTTGCATCTACGTTTCAACCCATGTCACAGGTACATGGATAGTATTTATTTAGTTAATCAGTGCACACGCCTGGTTCTCTTGCAGCGGCAGTAAGCTTTTAAGAACAAGGTTCATAAAGTTTCGCTTTTTCTGAAACTGACCCTCCAGTGGACGCTTGTCGATTCTGCTCCACTAATAGACCTCATTCCTCGCGTTACATGTACACGACGTTTTAGGTGAAGTCTTGCGCCGTGAGGTGCCCTTTTCAGAGATGCTTTGCACAATTGAATTAGGCAGTTCTGCCCTCGATTTTGCGGATACACCCCTAGCACTAATTGGCGCCAACTGACATTGAATAATAAAGGCTTGGAAACCGTTGACTGCTACACAGCAGAAATAGAAACCTCGAATCCCCTGTCTAATTTTCGGTGCAAGTGCTGCACATACCCTATCACTGCATTCTGCCATCGAACGCTACGACACACTCAAATCGCACATTTATCACTGTTGACCATTGCCCCTTAAAACTACAACGTTGGATAAGTTCGCTGTTTGTTTACTGCTAGCACTTACATAGAGCATTTTACCGATGTTGTTATTCACGCATTTGAATCACCTGGCATGGAAGAAGTGATTAAGCCTGTAACCTGACCAGGCGCTTTACAGTACTCAGTAACTGGGTAGTACTGTAATTCATAAATTTTCTGGCAATGACGATGGACACACGGAGATATACTGAGTCGCCTTTCCACCAAATATTAAGCTACAAACGGAAAGGGCAGTTCTGATCCCTCAGGAATGAAAACGATGCCTGGAGTCTCTTAATGACACGGAAACCTGGTGTTTAAAAGTTCTAAATGTGTTGTACGAAGAAAGATTTCAGTGTCATTCGAACGATAAGGTTCAACCTATAGGCTTGGTGATATATATGACTTATGACCTACGGTTTGATGATCGATGCTCAGCGTTTCACAACAAGTGGGCTAGGGTCACTGGCCTAAGATTAGCACCAGTCAGAAGAACGGTTCTGAACATTAACAAACTTTAGATTCAAAGTGCTGATTTAATCCCGAAGCAGGAGAATCTCTTTTAACTATGATATGAACGGCATATCCACATAAGCATCATTTGCATTATCCTGTATTCTATCCACTCATTTTTCAAACTTGGAAGAAAGAAACGGAAGTGACTCTGACCAGGGTTCATACTCACGACCTCCCAGTTCTGTGTCTTACACTATACTGACCAAGCAACGCCGGTCTGAAACAATGCGTTTCAAACATTTTGTTCAAAACTGATTGGGTTTTGAACTCTGCACCTCCGGAGTTCGAGTTGGATGCCGACGTGTTACCACTGTGCCACTACGCCACTGTTTCGTTTGAGCGACAACTGGAGTGTCATCAGCCGGCTTTCCGAAAGAAATAATGGAACAAACGTTATTCACTAAGAGTTTTACATAGCCCATGTCATGATATGGTGCTGATTTATTTCTATATTATTACAGTGATAACACTGGTGTGCGGCGTCGAAACACCTCATTAAACAAGGGATTTTACAGTTCTTTTCAGTTGTTGCCCTGAACCATGAATCGGGAAGCGACCATGAGCTGTTATTCAAGCAAGCTATTCACCTCCTTCTATAACCAAAGAACAGAAATACTCAATTAAGGCAACGCTTTGGTCGATGCAGTACTGATAATCACGAGATGAGGACCAAAACATTGGCTCCAATAAACACAGCTTTCTCAGCACTCACTCTTAAATATACATTTGTGCTTTAAGGTGTGGTAGGCATCCTTGGCTTCGCGATAGGCGTAATCATGGGCAGCATCATTTTGCGGCGCTATCGATTGAATGGAAGAGCCGCAGCTCTATTCGTGGCAGCGTGTACAGCGACGTCCAGCCTGCTTGCGTTCAGTAAAATTTTGTTGGCTTGCCAGTCCACAGTAAACCAGCTTGGAGCCAATGTCAGGTACAATCTTAACACACTTTTATATGCTATTTATTTTGAACTCCGCTAAACCGACTCCACGTTGGCGTCAATAAAATATGCAACGGACAGCAACGAAAATTATGGACCAAATGCACTGGAAAATACGGAGGAAAGTGCACTTTCCTTAGTCATGAGACTTGTCAGGAGTCCTGAAACGGTAGTCTAATGAGGAATTGGTAATCAGGGATTTGTATACCTCGCTATATCCTGAGGTAAATGTATCTAGAAGAAGTAAGCTTCAACGGCAAACCCAAAGAGAGGGACCGGGAAGCAACTTCCTTATTTGTTCATTTTGTGCAAACTGTATTTTTTCTGAAACGAAAATTCACGCTGCTAAATACCTCAGGTTTTATCACATGGTAAGCATAGTTAGTGGCAGATTATTTGCATAACGACAATTACGAGTGACATGTCAACTGATCCGGACAGCAAATTCCAAGCAAGATGGTGATACGTTGTTCATACCTCGAAGTGACTTGCAATTCTTTATGCTGGAAATTTCTTTTTAACAGGAAAGTGTAGAAAACGCCTTGAAGTGATGCGTAACTGTACGGCACAAAGCAAGGGTATTTATTCGCTGTAGTGAAACATTCTGATCTGCATCGAAAGGTTTTTCTTTGTGTCATTGCATGAAATATCGATCCTTTTCGATATGAAAGCCAGGCTTTTCAGCTGTGCAAAAATAATCCCTTTTAATCATCCAGCGAATTCCGGAGAGTAAGGTCGATTGTGGCTGGGAATACAACTTTTTGCAGGCAAGATGCGTGTTCACAGTGACTTTAGTTCTTAAGCACTAGACTGCATATAATCTGCACACAAGTGGTGGTCACAGAATCGGCCTAGGTAGCTAAACGGCAAATAATCTAAGCACAATCTACGAATGACAGCCTCTAAGGCATGACTGAGACCAACATACGAGGAGGAAATGATCACTTCCATAGTTTAATGTCTTAAGAACACGGAATTGAGGTAGTCATTCAAGTAGATATCGAGGTTTTTGACAGTGTAAAGCTATGCAAGAGGCTCTTTCGTGAATCTGAATTGTACGAGTTTAGGTTTAGGTTAGACATGGTACATAATGAGGAATTTTGAACGTCATTGCATTATAAAAACAGATCTGCACAGCCCCATTGTTTGTATTTCTATTTGTAAACAGTACGATTTACTTCCTAACTTGGAAACGCAGGGGAAAGTCCATACTTCACGTATGGGCATTTGTCGTCACGTATCTTTGGCGCTCATCAGATGTGTGTAGTTGATACCTTGAAATAATAGAATAAAATTAAGTTTGTGACTATTGGAATGTCGGTCTATTTTGCACTTTCATGATAGGGCCATTTCTGGTGCCCTTTTTTTCATGAAGTTAATCATGGCGCGTTGTTTTCCCCATTCCATTCTCATGCCACCTAAAAGAAACGCTGAGTGTCAAAGGTAGAGTAGGCAGTAGCTTCGTGGCAGACATATTGTGTTGCCTCTTGTTTTCTTCCCACAAAGTGAAAGTCATTGATCAACCTCGGAATAAGAAACGTGAGTGGGTCCGAAACCTGACTCCTCACTGTTCTGAGTCAGACGATCTTTTCTTGACTGACCAATCCCGGTCATAGAGGTTTAGGTCATGGAGGCCCGTGCGAAAAAATATTAAGACATTTCAAAATCCAGAAATGGCCTATTGCACATTCTCACACAGCTGAGCATCTCTGTGTCTACTTGAATAACTATTTATTTGAAATAGATTATCACATATGGTGATTCATCTCAAAGACTAAAAACGCATTCAAGTAATCAGTCAATCGGTCAGCCTTTCTCATTCTGACGAAACGGCGGAAGTGCACGAAGAATCCTCAAAAATCTGTATTCCCGACCACGTCGAAGCCCGGAGCCCAGTGATTTATCTCACCCATTTCAGACGCTTGTAGCCAAGAGAAAATATTTCACTCATAATCTACGACTCATGACCGTAGATAAGCATGGTAATGAAGATCGACTTGAACACCGAGAGCATAATCTTCAGACTTGGCTCTGCGTTAGTCACAACGGATCGGGCTACTCCACGCAAAAAGTCACTGACTACTCAAATACGCCGGTCGATCTCTTCCTGGAATTTTCCGTCACCAGCAAACACGACCTTGAGGTACTAGATCTCCTCCCCTGTTCCACTGCCTCTCCGTTATCTGAAGAGCAACGGGTAAGAGAACGAGAGAGCACCAAGCTTTTCGTTTTATTATTATTACATCAGCGAGATTAATTCGTTCGTTAATAAATGACCATCAAGTCAGTGAAACCGAACTTTGGACTAGAAGACCTACAAGGATGGTCATTTCAATTTCCCACCATTGAATTGCGTGCCCCATGTCCGTGGTTGAGGATTAATTTCTCTACAGAGATTAAGTGACTGGTGGCTGATGGCAGTCAAGATGACCTGTAAAATACGGGAGAATGGTACAGTCAGATTTAGTTAACTCAAGAAGATCAAGACGTGTGGCAGAGACTGGAAGAATATATATATATATTGATCTTGATCTTCTTGAGTTAACTAAATCTGACTATACCATTCTCCCGTATTTTA